GCTCCACCAAAACCAAAGTAGAGGAATCCCCAAATCCGAATCGCCCCCATCGATTGTGAGTTTGTTGTTGCTGCGTCTCAAGCTAGACTAGATTTTTTCGATTCTTATTGTAGATCGAATCGACCGATTCGATTCATCGCTCCATCGACCGGTAGTAGATAGAGATAGGGTTCATACGCCCATTGATTTGACGATGTTCCGCCGCGACTGCGTGGGACCGCCGCCGCCATGCCCCCCGGCCGCCGCCCTTCACCTTCGCATCCTGCCGTCTTGACCAAACCCAAACCCCGACTCCGACCCCGGTTCCCCGCGGGAAGATTATAAGAGCCAAAATACAAGCGACCGGCCCGTGCGCACCAACCACCACCACCGGAGCAACAAGATGGCCGATAGCGGCGGACTCAGCGCCAACAACGCCGCCGCCGCCAACGACGACGACGACGCCAACACTGCGCCTTTCCCCGACACGGTCCGTATCTTAACCCATCTTTGTTTTTATCTATACTCCCATCAATCCACTTTTGATTCTCTCTGATTCGATGATTGCTGGTTTGATTCTCACCCAAATCAAATCTCCACTGCCTTGCCTTACAGGTCCAGGTCGGAGGATCTCCCGAGTACAAGGTCGAGAGGAAGCTGGGCAAAGGTGGCTTCGGCCATGTCTTTCTTGGCCGACGTCTGACTGCTGCTGGACGCTCTGCGGCGTCTGCTGCCCAAGAGGTTGCCATCAAATTTGAGCACACTACCAGCAAGGGCTGTACCTACGGCCCTCCGGCTGAATGGCAAGTTTACACGTAAGTCTGCTCATCATCGTTCGTGTCTTTCATCTCCCACTACCACCAACAGATAGTCAGATACTATGTTATTACTACTGTTCATGGTTCTAAGTGACTGCCTCTAATCATGTACCAGCGCTCTAGGAGGCACGCACGGTGTGCCCAAGGTGCATTATAAAGGTCGCCAGGGTGACTACTATGTCATGGTACCGTTCTTCTCCTTCCTGCTGCCACCTCCACCTCCTGCTAATCTTGGAGAATGGATGACCCTTCTGGGTTTAGCTAATGGAGATTGACTCTTCTGGGACCAGTGCTCTTTCTTTGTCGAGAGAAGGGGGGCCTGGTCTGAATTTTAGTGAGGAACTTTTGGGATTTTTGCTACTGAAGAATCACTTGTAATTTATTTGATTCCTTTTTACCTCTCCAGATTATGGATATGCTGGGGCCTAGCTTGTGGGATTCATGGAATTCATTAGGCCAATCGTGAGTTCCTTAACTCTACTACCTCTGACCTCTCCCAGCGGTTGCCATTGTTTTTTTTCCTACCCTTTTTTCTCCCCTTCCTGTTTGTAATAACTTGTGCTGAAAAACTTCCAGCATGTCATCGGAAATGGTGGCTTGCATTGCTGTGGAGTCCATTTCCATCTTGGAAAGCATGCACTCTAAAGGGTAAGCGGACATCTCAAGCATGCTTAATGGCTAATGTTTAATTCATCAGTCTCTTTTTTATGCTTCTGTGCTTTGCTTTTCAGATATGTGCATGGAGACGTCAAACCTGAGAACTTTCTTCTGGGGCAGCCTTCAACGCCTCAAGAAAAGAAACTTTATCTTGTGGATCTTGGATTAGGTAAACAAGCCTGTTCCAATCAATATGTTATTAACTTGCATGGTTTTTGTGGAATCGTTTCCCTTTCCTATTTCTTCTAGATTACTAGTGGTCTGGAGGATTCAGTCTTGACCATCTTAACAGCTTCTGTGTTAATTTTCACTTGCCAGCAACAAAATGGAGGGATACTGCTAATGGACAGCATGTTGGTTATGATCAACGTCCTGATGCCTTTAGGTTTGCCACTTTGTCTTTTATGTTTCATAATATAATATTCATATTTGTCTGCTAATTGTGGCATTAGTTCTATGTCTAAACTTCTCTCTTGCCTTTATAATCTAGAGGAACAGTTAGATATGCTAGTGTCCATGCACATTTAGGAAGAACTGCTAGCAGGAGAGATGATTTGGAGTCACTTGCCTATACACTAGTATTCCTTCACCGGGGCAGGTTGCCATGGCAGGGATACCAGGTACCTTACTGTATAATCTTTTAATCCTTTTCTTTCCAAAAAATCAGAACTACTTTTTTTCTTGAGTAGTCTTGTTTGACCATTGATCTTTTTTTGTGTGGGCCTGTGTTTACAGGGTGATAATAAATCATTTTTGGTGTGCAAGAGAAAGATGAGTACCTCATCTGAGACCCTTTGCGGCATATGTCCTCAACCTTTCAAGCAGTTTCTTGAGACCGTTGTCAACATGAAGTTTGATGAAGAGCCAAACTATTCCAAGTTGATTTCATTGTTTGACAGTTTAATTGGATCAATCCCTTCCGTTAGACCAATCAATACTGATGGAGCTCAAAAGGTCTGTTTCAGGCATCACATACTTCATTGGCGAGTTCAAGTGAAATGAACCTTTAAAAATCTAGGTACACCTGGCTTATGTATTTTGTGGACATGCTCACCCTGCAGGTAGGGCAGAAGCGTGCCAGGTTGCTTAATGATGACGACGACCATGTAAAAAAGAAGATTCGGCTGGGTGCCCCTGCAACCCAGTGGATTTCAGCATACAATTCAAGGCAACCTATGAAGCAGAGGTTAATGTTAATTCTCAAGTTATTTTTCCTTCTGTTGACTGTATATCCTGTTTCAAGTATCCATTCAGAGTCATATTATCATACTGCATTCTGTACTGTTCTTTCTTTTAAAAGCGAGTTCCCATTTTTTTTTTTAATATTTGTGTGAAAATCTGATTCATTCAGTGAAAGGAACCAAGTTAACGACATGGCAAGACTGCATGTAGATCATAATTTCTACTGGGATAACAAATTAAATGGAAAAATATAGTTTGATCCCTTGAGAACCAAAGATAATCCATAATACTTCCGCTGTTTTTTAGATTCATCGATGCACCGACATTCTTTTTGTGTATTTTGTCACTGTAAAAGGATGATTAACTTCTGCCGTTGATAGGTACCACTATAATGTGGCTGACGCAAGGTTAGCGCAACATGTGGAGAAAGGAAATGAGGATGGTTTGTTGATAAGTTCAATATCATCATGCTCAAATCTTTGGGCACTCATTATGGATGCAGGAACTGGCTTCTCAGCTCAAGTCTATGAGCTATCTTCACACTTTCTTCATAAGGTAGAACTTTCCCATCTGCACCTCATGTAATTCATTCTCTTTCGATGTTCTCAATTTTGCCAAAAAAAAAAACAGGAATGGATTATGGAGCAATGGGATAAAAGTTACTACATCAGTTCTGTTGCTGGCTCCAACAATGGAAGTTCTATTGTAGTGATGTCAAAAGGTATAAACATTTTTTTTGTGACATATCATTACCTTACTGTATCCCCACTTGCTTGTGACAAGAACTGTTTGTTGTCGCTGTTGCTGGCTTGCTGCATATATATTCATTACATTCTTTTCCCTATAGCTGCAGTATATCCGTGACTATTCTATATCTCATAGTTTATAATGTACCCACTTGAATGAGCCTGAAAAGTAAACCTGAATACCAAAAAGGAAAACACAAGTGTCTCACCAGTTGCCTGACAGCAGGACCAGTATTTGCTCAAACACCCTTGATATGCACCTGTTATCAGAATTACCTGTCACTTGCTTGGTCCTTTTCCTTTTCGTAATGTAGACCCTGTCACAATTGTGCGTCTTTGACAGATATAGTTTTTTTTTGTTGGTCCTCTGATATAGTATGTTTGATGGCCAGGCACACCATATACACAGCAATCTTACAAAGTCAGTGATTCCTTTCCATTTAAGTGGATAAACAAGAAGTGGAAGGAAGGTTTTCACGTGACTTCAATGGCAACATCAGGCAATCGATGGGCTATAGTCATGTCCCGCAGTGCTGGTTTTTCTGAGCAGGTTTGCACCGGTGCTGAACTCCATATAGAGAGATAACGTCGTATATGATTCTCATTTTCATTGTGAAGCATTTGGATGGATAGCAAAAGACAAAAGCCAAGTGTTTTATGCTAGAGGTTTTAATATTTTCTTTCATGCTGCACTGTTTGCAAAGGACAGTAGAAAGTGTTTTTGGTAGCAATGTGATTTTCTAAGATGTTCAGGTGCATCTTCAGTGATGGTTAGGTCTGGTATTTTATTTGGCCTTGAAGTTTAGGAATGTGCCAAATCTTGCAGGTCGTGGAGTTGGACTTCTTGTACCCAAGTGAGGGCATCCATAGACGCTGGGACAATGGCTTTCGTATCACTGCAATGGCTGCCACAATGGATCAGTCTGCGCTGATCCTAAGCAAGCCAAGGCGTCGCCCGAGAGACGAGACACAAGAGACTCTGCGGACTACACAGTTTCCCAGTCAACATGTCAAGGTAGGACAGAGCCGTGGATCTCTCTCTCTTGCTTTAGCTTGACCAGTGACTTTTCCTTACTTGTTCCTCTTGGCTGTCGCAGGATAAGTGGGCCAAAAATCTCTATCTTGCTGAGATATGCTATGGGCGAACCGTGGCCTAAGATCGTTGGTTGCTGACCTAGCTGTTGCTTGATGTATATTTTTGAGTTTTCATCAGCTGCTACCAGCATGAGCCACAGGGACAGGGCAGCAGTGTCCTAGTCCATGGAAGAAGATGAATGAATTCCGATGTATGTTAATCGGGAGAGGTGGGTGCAGACAGAATAGCCTAGCTACTGATCAGCCGTAACATACCCGTCCGATCCAATAAAACGAGTCTGTAATGTGGCTTTTGCAGCGCATTTTCTGCATCATGTTAAGGAAAATTCTGTTTTTTATTCAGTGCTTATGAAGAGGAAAAAAAATATAGAGCGGAGAAATGTGTTTATTTTGTTTTTTCTGTACAAGTACGAGTACTACAATCCAATACACGAGAAATGGATATGATATTTATATGACATCGCAAAAGAGAAGACTATATATATATATATATATATATATATATTTGAAACTGAGAAGACGACTACTGGTCCTGCGGCGGAGGCGCGGCGTCGGACTGACGGAAAGAGAGCATGCTGGGCGAGTCAACTCTGACGATGACTTCTTCGCCGGCGGAGTCGTCGCTCGAGTTGTCTTCCTCCTGCAAGTGCATAGCCATCCGCCGTCGCTGCCGCTGGGCTACCGGAGCAGGAGCGGTGGCAGCAACCTCAGCAGCGTCTCTTAGAGGTAGAGCTGCCACTCCCTTCATGTTGGAGCCCTCCGACTGCACGGAGAGCAGAGGCCGCTCCTTGGACGGCATCCTTGGGTAGGAGGAGCTGTGCTTCTGGTTTGTCGTCGTCGCCTGCACGCGATGACGCCTCAGCCGCCGGTGACCCTGCTGGCCGGAGGAGAGGCTCACCATGCTGCCGTACATACTCAGCTGCAGGGCCCTGGAAGACAAGCCGCCCGGCATCTCAGCAGCTAGGCCTAGGCTGCCACGGGACCTCCGGAAGCTCTCGGGCCAGCTGAGCAAGCCGCTGTGCTCCTTGCTCATGCTCCGTGCTGGCTCATGGCCTCCTTGTCCTTGGGGCAGCAGCAGCCGCGACGCACTTCTGTGAAGATGGAGATGGGCCTCTGCCTCCTCAAAGAAGATGATCCGCGCTCTAGCATACACCTGGTACCTGCGTGCGGTATGGCAGTAGTCTATACAAGAGAGGAGTCAGATCAGAGCCTTTCTTTGACTCTTTATTTATCTATCTATAGGCAAAAACATAATAATAAATAAATAAAGAGACCTGAGGACTCGAGACCGAATAAGCTCAAGTCAGCATTCGATGGCAGAAGCACCGCTGGAGGCGTGATTAGAGTCAGGTTCTCGGTCTTCAAGAATCCTTCCAGCAAAATGCCAATGCAATTCTGCTCCACTTCCGTGTCTTCTCCCTTCATGTATATGTTCATCGTCGACCTTTCAGCTATGAGAACCCTCATCTCATGCATTCCCATTTTCTCGAATATGCGAGGGAGCAAAAGCCTAGCAAGCACCAGAGCGCTTTCCTGCCAACATTCATCCATCCATGATCCATCGAGTACCATTTATTTATTTTATTTACTACTACTACTACTACTACTACTACTATGTGTGTAGTAGGAGTAAGTATGTACATTACCTGCCACAGGAAAACCTCAATCGAAGGATCTGAATGGCGCAGCTCTTCTATCTTTTCAGTTTCGACGAAGAAACAGTGTGCCACCGAATCCGTGGTCATGTCACAGATATATGGCTTTCCAATCAGCACCTCATACAAACCCAAAGTGCTTCCATGTGATAGAATTGGATCTAAGCAATGCCTTCTGCTTAATCTCTGACTTGTCCACTGTTGTTGCAAAAATACAAAGGGGGATAAAATGCCTCATTAGAACCAACAGTTCGTTCCCTACAGAATTTTGTGAGTGTTGTTGAGGCGCACACTGACCTTTACTACACCAATAGAAACAAGCCAAATACCGGTTGGCCTGGAGCCTTCCCTGTACAGCGCTGTGCCCTGCCCTGGCACGGTTTCCTTTGTATTTCTTAGCAAAGGATCACGCACAGCAGCAGGCAGCGCTCCAACTAAAGGATGAGTGTTCAGAAGGTCACTGACTCTTGGCATTTTCACTATTGGTGGATTCCTCTGCAACTTCTTCAAGTCTGTCTGCCAAGTGAATTAGCTTAGCTTACTGGAGTCATATAGGCATATTTAGTTAAATAATATTCCAGCTACCTGCAGAGCATCATCTAACTGGACCATTTCCTTCTCTTCCAGCAGCCCAGTCTTCTGGAGGTTTTGAATATACTCACTCAAGTGTGTCAGCACAGAATATGTGACTTGTCGTGTCTTTAGCACTCGTAGCACCTGAAATTTTGGGGGAAAATGATTTCAGAACCAGGGCACTGCAATTTATCAGCAGGAGGATCCTTTAGTTTATTCATGCAATGATCTTTATCTTCGTTATTATGTTGGTTTTGTACTTTCTTCTCCAAGTTTTACGGAGAGAAAACTGATTGTTTTTTTCCTCAAACATGCAGGACCGCTTGGTGAATATGTTACAAAGACTTTGTGTTGGAACTGAAAGCTCAACAGCAGTTGAATGAGATGATAGAAGCACATTGTTACCACAAACCTGCGGGAATGTAACTCGAACATCTTCCAAGAATTTTCTAGCTTCCTCTCCCTCAGCGTTACTTTCACCAATAACAGTTCTTGCAACCTCACTATCGCCTGAAGAGAGAAGAAAACAAATAATAAATACTGAAACTGGTGTGCATTAGTATCATACCAGAAGATTGAGCTTAGGGTATCTACAAAACAGAATAAGGATGGAAGATGGACTAATCGAAACCATAAAGAGAGTGTGGAACCTTTAATCAAGCTTTCATAGTTCAAACTGATAAAATAAACTCGGTTCATTGTATCTTTTTCTATCTTAATGAAATGACACACAACTCTCCTGCGTAGTTCAAAAAAAAATTGTTCAAACTGATAAATAAATTGAGCTACCCCAGGTTCGTTGTCATTGAAGTAACACTCAACCACAGTTTCACCCTATAAAGTGGTTTTGCAGTGAAGTAAGGCTCTGTCACCCCACATGACCTAGTAGTTTGACAACCAAATGCTGTAACAGATTCTGTGGTGAAGGTAAACACTTCTTAAAAGTCTGCTTTCTATTGCCATTTGTGATCTACATGGCAACAACAATGTACAGCTATAGAAAATGTCCACCATACATGTAAATCTCATACATATGCAGTTAGTACTGATTCTCTTCTAGTACCCCAAAGAAATAATAGGCAATTTGCAGGAAATAACACATCAAGTTCCCAATATATTACCAAGAAAATCATGTAGCTGCCGCCTTGCGATTCTGTGAGCACGAAGAAATGCAGCACAGATGTAACATCCAGACTCTAATCTTTCGACAGTGAAGTATGTGACAAGCTTTCGTGGTAACCTACTCATCCGAAGGAACCTATAATAATTTGGGAACTGGACATTAGACTTTAAACCTTTCCAATCACATAATGTTTGTCCGGAAACAAGATCCATAGCTTCATCAACCGATCTCATCAGAATATTTGCTGTAGCTTGAGTTATTCGTCCTTCTTCAAGCATTCCCCAGTAAGCAGCTTGCACACCTGTTATAAAATATGTCCTTATAAATTGTCTCCTTTAACTAGCATTCATAACAACACTTGGCACATTAAGGGCCTGTTCGGCAGGACTGAAAAATACTGTTCCGGCTGATTGTTGTGAGAGAAAAATACTGTTCTGGCAGAATGTGAACAGTGATTTCGTGACTCAGGAAACCAGCCAGCCCGCTGGCAACCAGCCAGCCGAACGGCCTCTAAGTTGCAAAAAAGGTATAGAAGATAGAACCATGGAGGGAACAGTAAGCAAACAGTTTATGGATAAACACATATTGCAATGATAAGGGTGTAAAATTGGAAAGACAAATGGAAATCAGTCACAACCCCAACATATCAAACTGATAAAATACTTCTCAACAAAAGAAATCATATCAAAAGTAATGGAGGCCAATCACTAGCAAAGTAGCAATTCATTTAGAAGACAGATAAATACCATCAAACTACAAAGACGGAAGGGCCTAGCTACAGAGATGGCCAGATGGGTAGGGAAAATTTGCCTGCTTACTTGGGACACAAAAAGGCTTAGGTTAATTGCCAGCAAGAATTAGTGAATATAACAGTATTTTTACTTGGACCGTTGATCTAGATGACTATTATCACACATTACATTCTAAGAGGTAATAGAATTAATATATATTTATATATTTTTTATTTTGATAAATAGGAAAGATAAGAAAAATGTCAGGTTAGATATCTATCAATTAGATCTCACATGTATGGCATGCATATAACTTTCATTATTAGATTTAACTTCTCTATGGGATTAACGTGACATGTGGGTGACATTACTTTTTATCATAACATCAAAAAACTAATTTGAGATGCATGACAAACTTGCTTGTACCATTGTACGGAAAGTTTTAATGTTTTTGTTCACCCAAAATAATATAGTTGCACAGTACAGTTCTAACAATACAAAGATAATGTGCAATCTGAAACACGAAATTAGCACCTCATAGTTCAAAGAACCAACTAAGAGAAAATCCATGGCCTTTAATTTTGCGTGCCAGATGGTCATCTCGTACATAGGTGTGTAGCTATGATGTACCCCCTCTGTCCCTACATAAGTGTAGTTTTCGCTTCCCGAGAAATAACTTTGACTATATATATATATATATATATAATAATAATAATAATAATAATATTTATGGTACAAAATTAATATCATTAGTGGATCATTGAATCTATTTTCATAATAAATTTATTTGAAGATACAAATGTTGCACGTATTTTCTACAAATCTAGTCAAACTTACGACACGGAAACAAAAAACGACAATTATTTAGGGACGGAGGGAGTATAGTCAGTATGTCCTGAGCACACATGTTATAAATATTGCAATTAGAAATCTACTGAACAAAAATCAATCTGTTTCAGCGATTGAGATTTCCTGCCTTTTTCTTTTTCTTTTTTTATAAATACTTTATTTATTTATTTATGACTTACTTGTTGCATGTATTCAAAAATCAAGGGCTAAGATCTATTTAAGATCTTACCTCCTATGAGGTAGTGGGGGGTACTGTAGCAAGGCCCTACTTTAGCGGTTCGAGAAGAAGGTATAAGTAAGGGAAATGTAGAGCAATAAAGCTGATCTGAGCATGGGTACAGGTCTGGGCATCAATGGTAGGACACTCGCCTTTGGCAGGCCAGTGGAGGATCTTTCCTCGTACCAATTATCAATGCTGACACCAAAAGTTTTATATTTCAAAAACAGCCACTTCTAATTCCAAACGACAGGAAGATCTGGCATGATAGAAGCCAAAGGCTGAGATTGATTAGCTTAATTGAATGATTACAGCAGAAGTGTTACATATATATAGAGAGTACAAGAGAGCCCAAAGGGCCTGGCCAGCCTGGAGGCGGCGTCCCAAGGGGCCAGTCTAGTCTAGGGAATTGGCAACAATAAATAGGGACTAATAACTCTAACACCCCCGCGCAGTCGGAACGTTGTTGGGACGAACGTTCAGGCTGGAGCGAAAATCCATGAAGACCGAGGAGGGAAGACCCTTGGTGAAGATATCGGCGAACTGCGACGTGGTGGGAACATGAAGCACACGGACAGCCCCAAGGGCGACCCGTTCCCGAACGAAGTGGAGGTCGATCTCCACGTGCTTGGTGCGCTGATGTTGAACGGGGTTGGTGGAGAGGTAGACGGCGCTGACGTTGTCGCAGTAGACGAGGGAGGCAGAGGCCAGCGGGTGATGCAGCTCCTGGAGAAGTTGCCGCAGCCAGGAGGCTTCAGCCACGCCATTAGCAACAGCGCGGTATTCGGCCTCGGCACTTGAGCGCGAAACCGTGGGTTGGCGCTTGGAGGACCAAGAGATGAGGCTGCCACCGAGGAAGACAGCGTAGTCGGAGGTGGAGCGGCGGGTGTCGGGACAGCCGGCCCAGTCAGCGTCGGTGTAGACCACGAGCTGAGTCGGAGCAGAGCGGGGAATGACAAGGCCAAAGTCAAGAGTGCCCTGAAGGTAGCGAAGGATCCGCTTGGCAGCCACAAGATGAGCTTCCCTGGGATCATGCATGTATAGGCGAGACTTGTTGAACAACGAGGCGATGTCGGGCGGGTGAAAATCAGTCTTGAAGGGCACCAAAGAAGGTCATGCGGTATCTTTGTAGGATCAACAACAAAGAGGGGCGGCAGCAGCAGCAGAGACCTTAGCGCAAGTGTCAACGGGGTAGAGCATGGCTTGCAGTCACTCATGCCGTGGCGAGCAAGAATGTATCAGGTGTATCGGCGTTGTGAGAGAAATAGAGTGTCCCGGTTATATTGAATAACGGCTATGCCAAGGAAATGGTGCAGAGGACCAAGATCTTTCATGGCGAATTCTTGTTTGAGTGCAGCGATGACCCGGTGTAAGATTTGCTGAGAAGATGCAGTGAGCACAATATCATCCACATAGAGGAGCAGATAGACTGTCTCAGTACTGCGCCTGTAGATAAACAGAGAGGTGTCAGACTTGGCTTCGGTGAATCCCAGAGTCAGCAGAAAGGAGGCAAACCGGCTGTACCATGCGCGCGGTGCCTGCTTCAAACCATAGAGTGACTTGTTGAGTTTGCAAACATGTTCAGGGAGAGTAGGATCAACAAAGCCCGGTGAAAGTGTAAGCGATATCTTTGTTTTGAGAGAGTGCCATGAAGAAAGGCATTCTTCACATCAAGTTGATGGATCGGCCAATCCTCGGAATGAGCCAAAGTGATGGATTGTCTGGTTAATCAGAAAGGAGCTTGACAACGTGGCTGAATGTTTCATCATAATCAACACCGAAATTTGTTGAGTAAACCCGCGAAGAACCCAACGAGCCTTGTATCTGTCCAGAGAGCCATCAGCATGAAATTTGTGCTTGAAAATCCATTTACCGGTGACAACATTTGCCTTGGGAGGACGAGGAACGAGGTCCCAAGTGTGGTTGTCGGAGAGAGCAGCAAATTCCTCTTCCATTGCCTGGCACCAGTGAGGATTGGCAAGAGCGTCGCGACACGTGCGCGGGAGCAGGGAGAGGACCTCGGCGTGCAGACCGAAGCGAGGCTGCCGGAACCCGATCTTCCCACGGGTAGACATGCCATGGGAATTGGCGACAGGTGGGATGGGAACAGCCCCAGTTGGAAGCTGGGGGTCGTGCTTGACGTAGCGCGGTGGAGATGGGACGATGCTGGAGCGTCGAAGAGCGGGAGCCTCAACAGAAGGCTCGGTCGTCGGGCTTGGTGCAGGAGGACGCCGGTGGTAGACGTGGATGATGGGCGGCCTGTGGACCGGCACCTGTACAGGGCGTGCTGAGGGTGCCGAAACATCCTGTACAGGGGGCGCTGCAGGCAACTGGACAGCGGGCATCGTGGGCACCTGTACAGCGGGCGCTGCAGGCACAGAGGGCGCCGCAGGTGCCGGGACAGCGGATGCCGCAGACGCCTGTACAACGGGTGCTGCAGGTTCCTGAACAGGGGGCGGCCTGGGCAGGGAGAGGCCTGGCGGAGGCCCAGCAGCCCTGGGAGTGCCTGTAGATAGAGGAGGGACTGACAGGGAATCATCATTAGTTAGAAAATCAAGTTCAGTGGGTGGAGGGGAGGGCCGACGGAGGGAAAAGGGAAACGTTGTTTCGTCGAAGACAACGTGGTGAGAGATGATGACCCGATTGGTGATAAGGTCAAGGCACCGATAACCCTTGTGATCCGGAGAGTAGCCGAGGAAGGCGCACAAAGTGGACCGAGGGGCCAGCTTGTGAGGGGCAGTGGCGGTGAGATTTGGATAGCAGGAGCATCCAAAGGTCCGGAGATCATGATAGGAGGGAAGGGTGCCGTGGAGAGCGAAGAAGGGGGTGCTCATGTGCAAGGTTTTGGTGGGGAGGCGATTGATGAGGTGGGTGGCTGTGGCGAGAGCATCGGCCCAATATGAGGAGGGCATGGAAGCTTGGAACAGCAAGGTGCGGGTGGTGTTGTTGATGGTGCGAATCATGCGTTCGGCTTTGCCATTCTGCTGTGAGGTGTAGGGGCAGGACATGCGGAGAGAGACACCATTAGCAAGGAAGAAAGCACGAGACGCAGAGTTATCAAACTCGCGGCCATTATCACATTGCATGACCTTGATAACGCACCGAACCCGAGTGAGCACGAAAGCAAAGAAATTGGAGAGAACAGGAAAGTGTTAGATTTCAGCGAAGAGGAAATGTCCAAACAAAGTGTGAGCAATCATCAATAATGACTAAATAATATTTAAATCCGGATACAACGATGACGGTGATGTCCACAGATCACAATGAATTAAGTCAAAATTTTTGATTGCTCTGGACAGGGAACTAGTGAAGGGCAAGCGAACATGGCGCCCAAGCTGACACGCATGGCAGATAGAATCATCATCAGGTTTGCTGCACACGATAGAAGAGGTTTGAGCAAGACGTGAAGGGCAGCTTTTAGGGGTGTCCGAGGCGGCGATGCCAAGTGGTCGGAGATGGAGTGGCTACGAGAGCGCAGGAGCCGGAGGATGATGATGGAAGCTGCAGGGTGTACAGAGGCCCCGAGCTGTTACATCGAAGAAGGACGTTCTTGGAACGGAGATCCTTCACAGAAATACCAAGAGGGTCAAATTCAATAGAAACTAGATTATCAGTGGTAAACTGTCTAACAGAGAGAAGGTTTTTGATAATATTAGGGGCAACAAGAACATTATTAAGGTGAAAGGGGCCGGGAGAGAGGAGTAGCAAGTACCCATGACCCGGTAAAGTGGCTCCATTGCCGACAACAATGGAGGAAGGGAAGGAGGAGGATGGTGACAAAGTGACCATACTGGGAGTTAGAAGCGATGTGGGAAGAAGCTCCCGAATCGACGACCAGTCCGAGGCGCCGGCGGCGGAGAGTGAGGGAGAGTCTTCGAACGCGGCGTTAGCGGCGCTGAGGATCCCATGGAGACCACGCAGACGGGCGCCGGGCATGGCGGCTTAGTAGAAAGGGCCGGTGGCGGGAGGATAATATGCGCCGGGGTAGCAGGCCAGCCATCATGGCTTCTTGTGGTGGTGCTGGCTGTATGCTGTGGTGGGGCATGAGCCACGGAGGAGGACCCGAGCCACATATGAATGGACCCGATCCACAGGTTGAGGAAGGAGGGCCACTTGTGGGCCACCAGAGGACCGCCGGTGGGTGTGGGCCGCCACCGAAGTGTTCATTGCCTGGCGCGACCACAAGGGCGGCGACGGCCACGCCACGACCAGCTGTTGCCACCGGCCAGAGCCCCCCCCGCGGTGGTGGAGGTCGCGGGACGCAGCAGGCAGGGTGGGCGCCCTGGGGCGTAGAGGCGACGAGAGTCAAGGAGGCGCCAAGGCGGTGCCATGTTGAGCTCGGCCAGCGCAGCGGTCGGCACGAACGTCGGCGTAGGGAAGGGAATGGTCATTGGCGGGTGACGAGTTGAGACATGAATCGGAACGTTCATTAAGGCCGCCGCAGGACGTTCAAAGACGAGGGTGCGGTCCTAGACGGGCTCGCCAAGATCGCAAGTGCATCGCCATGGTCTTCATCTTTGGCGAAGTCGCCGACGAGAGGGCACCACGGTAGAGAGTCGCGAATTCGGCGTCGAGGAGCATGGCGCGGGACTCGCGATTGTTTAGGCTTCTTTGCTCCAGCCCGAGCCATGCTCCCCGAGCGGTGATGCCTTCCCGCTCGTGGACGACTTCCATAAGGTCGGGGGAGATGGTGTTGAAGATCCAGGAGACAACGACGCAGTCCATACGGGACCACGCCGGATCGTAGAGGCAGGAGTCGTCGCAGAGGACGTGATCCTTCAGGGCAAAGCGGCCGAGGATGAGGAGGACGTAGCCGCGCCACTTGGAGTAGTTGGAAGCCTGAAGATCGAGGACGATCGGGATCAGGTTCTTGATATTCGGACACGGCGTACTGGCTGGTGTGTAGATGGGCGATGGCGGCTGCTTCAGAGAAGGAGCGGACGTCGTCATCGTCCTTCGGGTCCTCGTCGCGATGGGAGTCGCCGCGAATCGCGCCCCGGAGGGCCAGCGCCTTCTTGCTCGAAGCGTCTGCACAAGCGCTCTTTGGCGAGAGAAGCGGCGGCGGCAAAAGCGAACGCGCTCTGGGGCCGCGGCGGTGTTCTTGAAGAAGGTCGACCCCGCTGAAGGGGCAGCTGCGCTTCGGTGTTGGTGGAGCGCAGGAAGTAGCCTCATCTTCCGGCTTACAGGGCGGCGAAAGTGCCTCGTCGCATGAGCTTGGGCTGGCGGAGGCATCCAGGCACCGGAGGCGGAGGTGGCGGCCATGGGTGCAAGGCGGCGACGGCCAACCGAGCAAAGGCGCGCTGGAGCCAGGCGAGAGAGAGAGAGTGTGCGATGAGCGAATCCAAGTGACGCTGGCGCCGAGAAGAGCAAAGCTACAGCGTCTTGCATACGTCTTGCTGGGAGAGCGGAAACGGAGGTGGGCGAAGTGGCGGACCCAGTGGGTAGCTGGATAGGCCCAGGACTACCCACAAATTTGGCCCAAAATTCTATTACTACTCTTGAGAACGGCCCAAATGCTCTCTTCTTCGTCTCGGCCGGTGCCAAAGACACCTCAAATCCACGAGCTCTTCAAAATAATAACGCTACTGAGAGGGATCAACCAGGGGACCTCTCGCTTCGAAGCTGCAGCAAGCGACTTACCAAATCCGACTACGAAAGTTTGTTGGATAGGCAATACCATAACCCTATTTAATAAAGGAAAGCAGGGAAAATACCCCTTAATAAATCACTCCTTGTATGCTAAATCATGTCCTAAACGACTTTCTTTACCAGTATGGAGGGAGTATTTATGTAAGTTTCCAACCTTTTAAATGTATTATCATAATTTGGTTAATTTATAGCTAAGTTTGCCGAACTTTTGTTTGGATTTTATAGTATTGCACATAAATTTTTTTTACTAGGACTACCCTGGTGTCAGATCCTGGGTCCGCCACTGGGTGGGCGGTACGGCTCAGGAGAGCGTCTGATACCATGATAGAAGCCAAAGGCTGAGATTGATTAGCTTAATTGAATGATTACAGCAGAGGTGTTACATATATATAGAGAGTACAAGAGAGCCCAAAGGGCCTGACCAGCCTGGAGGCGGCGCCCCAAGGGGCCAGTCTAGCCTAGGGAATTGGCAACAATAAATAGGGACTAATAACTCTAACATGGCAGAACAAAATTGTACCGTTGAAGCCTAAATACCACTAACTCGCCACAGCTATCCACTCCAGGAATGCATGTGAACAGTACAGGTGGTATAGGAAGTTAACTAAAGAGTTACAGAAGTAATTATATCAAGCCTAAAAGGGATCAGGAAAATCCTTAATCACAAAAGAGAAGAGAATCTATGCAAACTGGGTATGATAATATATTATTTAATACCTTTATGCAATATTTGTATCAAATTTGTATAAAAAATACGTATCAGATTTGTGTATTAAAAACTGTTGAACTCTGTGCCGCCAGAGCCACTTCCAGGTTCAGGCATGTGTGCGGTTGCGCTTGCTCTTCTTTTTAATGAAATATGCACTCAGGTGCGTTCACGAAAAAAAAAATATCTGTATCAAATTCCATCAGATAACCTGATAAGTGATAACATACCATTCAAAAGCCGCACTCGGATATCTGTTAAGTTCATGATAAGCATGCGGTCATCTTTGCCACCGACATCATGGGGATGCTCTGGCTCATTGTCTAGGTCATTCAAACATGTAATATATTTCTTTACAGTAATCCAGTCAGCAGGTCCAAGTTCCTCGTCATCCCTTAGCTCACCAAAAGCCTCTAATGCTTTGTTTAGCATTTCATATCTTGTATATTTCAATATTCGAAGCTGCAAAAAACCATATTGGAATCTTTATCTGGGGCATAAGTGAACGTATTTTCATAAATGAGAACCAGTTGTGCTTATGAAAGCAATAAATCAGCAGAGAAAACAAACCTAGACAGATAGAAGATGGTGAATAAGAGGCATGGTTAATGATAGTGATAAAGGCTTCCTGAACACAACGTGTGAAATTATTAATCTATTTTTCACAACAAGGTCTGATGCTAATCTTGTTCAGATAGGAATCACAGCTTACAAATGGAACAATGTTTTGGTGGTGGTGGTTCTTCAGAGCAACAGGTCTGTTTGTTATAAACATTTCCAGCTAAAGAGGGGAAAATCAATTGCTCTAGATTTTCTGCTACTTTTGTCAGATCACTTGGGATAATATTTCGGGATCAGTTGTCAAAAGAAGTGCATACTTAAACACAGGATTCTCTTTGAATCATATTGTTGCAAGAATTGCTAATATATCTTTTGTGATGAAAAATACATTGCTTTAATGTGACTTCAAACCAGCGTTAAATTAAGAGTAAAGAGTCCTTTTCTTGTACTCCTCTCATGTACTCATATATATTGCCCCAATCGGGCTATTATACAATACAAGTTGTATTCATGAAATGGTAGTAGGGCATAAGTCAGGTTTAGGGCTTCTTCTTTTCATCTTCTGCTGTCGCTGGCAAAGGATCTATTATCTCAATCAATTCATAAGTAATTTTGCACTTGGCATGCTAGCATACATACAGATAAAGTAAATGTCTGCGACATAGCACGGGTGTCAAACTTTTGTGGGATGAGTACATTGATGACCATTAACCTTGAGATCTTGGAGGCACTAGGCTAAGTGGCAGGTTCGCAGCACATAAAACATTGCCTTCACTACTTCACTAGTAGTTAGTTGAAGGGAGAGGACAGATGGGTACAAAAGGAGATACAGAGGTTCATAAAAACAAGCAACACCTTAAATGCCAAGCTGGAACTGGAAATGACAATTTATGAAATTAACCTTTGTGGCCGACAATTTGTCCATGCCGAGCATATGTAGCAAAAATTGTGTGGTTGAGCCATTAAAAATCAATGTCAGAAACACGATGCCACCAGTGAAGAACACAAACTGCACAAGGTATAACATTAGCGAAGTCCATATTAGACATTTGACACTTCCACACACAAAAGGGACATACCATTGTTCCAACTTCTGGTTTAAGGTAAGGTTGAACTGCATCGCTGGTACGCTAGTAAAAATATTCCAATAAATGCATTAGAAAACTCTGCAGTAAACTAATGTACGTACATGAAAATGAAGCACAGAGAAAAAGGTTCATTGATACACAAATGAAACTAACTTACCTTAACAGATAATGATAGTGACAGAGCAACAGCCCCTCGCAGCCCTGACCAAACAAGAATCATGGCCTCTTTCCAGTCCAACCCATACCCAAAGTGACGCAACAATGGGTGCAAAACACCAACAACTATAAGTCGAGATATTTGTACAAAGACATAGAGCAGCAGAAGGAAGCCCCATGAACTGCCTACAAGAGCAAGATATAAAATCAATGTACACAGAACAAGATTTAATAGGATTAAGCTCAGAACAGAAAGCTCATACCAAAACTTTTAAAAATGTTATGAAATTTTATATCTGAAATCATACACAAAACATGATTTTGCTGCACAATGATATCTAACCCAAGATGAAACGTTCAAGCATATGTTTTTCGTAATCAAATGCCAAGTGTTTGAAGTATAGGCTAACTGAAGTAGAATCAGAAATTCCCTACGGCACTAAAATTCAGAAGCAGGGCAGAGGGATCTAATACAGGGTTAGTACAACATTTATCTTTTGTATATAGCTCATTAACATGTTGTATAAATACTGGCCTTTTATGCATTCCACTATGATGAACATGGGACACCATATGTCAAAACTAGCCCACCAAGGTTTTTTCACAAAGGTGTTAATGGTTACGAGCAAAACTGAGATGATGTTGATTAATTCAAGTGCATATCTGCATGTTGAATCAAAGCGTAAGCTAATGAGAACTAAAAATATATATAAATATAAAAGAATGAAAAATAAAAAAAATAAAAAGAGGTGGTTCCTAATTTAACCATGTTATGTCTGAGATTTAGTAGATGCGAACACAAAACATGAAGAGTACTCACCCTCCAAGAGGAGGCTTTGAGCAGTGCTTTAGATGAATTGTGATATCTTACTTTGTTTCCCAACAATGATCATCCAGTATGGCCACCGGCCTAACAAAAATATCTACCCACCAAGCTTATCATCTCAAGCTAATAACCAAACTAACTAATAAAAATGAGTTCCTAACAATCCCCAAACCAAATCTCTAAGCCGAGCAATATCCTATTTTTTAGGAGAGTTGCGTATCATTATACTGATAAGAAGAAAAAGGTATAAGAAACCCGTACAACAGCCACACATACCACACCCCCCAGAAGATTATATCATTACAATGGCGCCTTCAGACTAAGACAAAAACGACCTTGACCTGGACCTGATACACTACAAATATAGCTTTGGGGAAATCAGGAGAGAGGTCCCCTTAGCCCCCGGTAAGCTCCAAAGAGCTTGTCGCTGCCTCGCTGGCCAGAGACAAAATGCCAGCAAGGTTTCGTGTTCCTCCATCAAAGATACATCGAGATTCTGGTGGTTCCACAGAGACCAAGCTCCTAGAATTATAACGGAATTCATACTTTGGAGCACCTGGTTGTCAATTGAGTCATTAGTGCATGCCCACCAGTCAACAGACAAAGAGCATCAGGTTGTGGAACCAAGCTTTTGCAGACAAAACTAGAACTGACAGGCAAAACTGCATGATACAACTTAAACTGCAGATGCTGCCTTCTTTCTCATCCTTCTTTGAGCAAATGTCTTGCCATAGAACGCCGTAACAAACAGGAAAACTCACCATAAAACTCACCATAGGAAAACGCTCATAGTAAGAATTGGATCTTTCTATTTCATATTATTCTGCTGTGAAATGTGATTTGATTTATAATAGATCCAATATTCATAAATTGAATGGGACGCGGTGATCAATTAGGTTCAACTCACCATAATATCAGAACATGTAACAAAAATCAAAGCCAATTCAGTAGAAGCCAAATAGAAATTATTTGAACATGCCATGGTCAAGGTGAGGTGGCTTTTGTATATTTCACTTGGACATAGAATTTTTTTTCTCCTGAATATGCAGGAGAGCTGTGTATCATTATATTATTTAAGAAGAGAAAAGGGGGTTCGGAGAAACCCTTACAACACAGACCCACTAACTCATAGGCTTATAAAAGCAGACGCACCAGTACTAGATTGGAAAAACCCGACCTCGACCTAAAGGACATAGAGAAATAAATTTCCAGATGTACATGATGCATACCGTGCTTCTCAAAGTGGGCATTATTTTGTAGAACGCCATCTGCAATAACAACCCCACTGAACGGAATTCACATGTGAGAAACTTTACAACTGTGTCATTATGAAGCATAAGATCAAAGCAACTAGTAGTCCAAACCAACTGGACAGGTGGACATAAACAGCAAAACCAGAGAAAGTTTTTCTTTTCCATGTGTACAGAAGAGCTGCCAATACCTCAGTATAAAAATAAGTGTGTTTGCAATGTAAGCAACCATTTCCCTGAATACAAGAATAAGAGCAAAGCAAACATGAAACTCAGATCAGATGAATACTCATATATCAGAAAAGTAAAGAACTATCTCGCAGAGCATATATGCAAGATCATGTACATGATTTACAGAAGAAAAGAAGTCAATAATTTGATGCGTTCGTAGTAATTCCCAGATTAGGGTACCTTAATTCAGACTGAAAATATTTCATGGTACTTGTTAGCGTGTTTACTGCTTCCTTTATTACTAGCTGGCTGTTGCCTAGGAACCTCCCCTGTTTACCCCCCCCTCTTTACTGCTAGTGTTTACTTCTCTAGTTACTGCTAGTCGGCTGATGCCTGGGAATCTTTCCTGACTGTCGCCTGAGGGCTTCCCTCTCTCTCTCTCTCTTGTGTTAGTCTAGCTCCTATTTAAATCACTGTAATCTGGTTTACTCCATATGAATGGAATACGAGCTTGTTCTCTTGAAGTGTATAAGTGGATTGCCCACCTCTTCCCAATGGCTTAAGTTTTTTGGTTCATCTGTTTGGTGCATGAAACCGAGCATGTTCATCCTATATGAGTACTTTTTTTTAACCAACACTGGCATATTATTCATCAACAAAATTAGGATAGGAATCGCAGAGACACTGAGTACCAGAATCGTTACAACAACAACATAGCCTTTCAGTCCCAAGCAAGTTGGGGTAGGCTAGAGTTGAAACCCACCAAGAGCCCCAAGTCACGGTTCAGGCGCTTCAATAGCTGCTTTCCAAGCACTACTATTCAAACATAGATCTTTAGGTATATCCCAAGCTTTCAAATCTCTTTTTATTGCATCCCCATGTCAATTTCGGTCTTCCTCTACCTCTCCTCATATTATTAGCTTGGCTTAGGACTCCACAATGCACCGGTGCCTCTGGAGGTCTCCTCTGGACATGGCCAAACCACCTCAACCGATGTTGGACAAACTTTTCTTCAATTGGTGCTACCTCTAGGCGATCACGTATATCATCGTTCCGAGCTCGATCCATTCTTGTGTGACCATAAATCCATCGCAACATACGCATTTCTACAACACTCAGTTGTTGAACATGTCGAATCTTTGTAGGCCAACATTCTGCTCCATACAACATAGCCGGTCTAATCACCGCTCTATAAAACTTACCTTTTCGCTTTTGTGGTACCCTCTTGTCACAGAGAATGCCATAAGCTTATCGCCACTTGATCCACCCTGCTTTGATTCTATGGCTAACGTCCGCATCAATATCTCCATCCTTCTGTAGCATCGATCCCAGATACCGAAAGGTATCCTTCTTAGGCACTACTTGACCTTCCAAACTCACATCTCCCTCCTCCTGTGCAGCTGTGTCAAAGTCGCATCTCATGTATTCGGTTTTAGTTCTGCTCAATCTAAAACCTTTAGACTCAAGGGTCTGCCGCCATAACTCTAGTTTCCTATTTACTCCCGCCTGGCTTTCGTCCACTAACACTACATCATCAGCGAACAACATACATCAAGGGATATCCCCTTGTATGTTCCTGGTAACCTCATCCATTACCAAGGCAAAGAGATACGTGCTTAAGGCTGACCCTTGATGAAGTCCAATTTTAATCGGAAAGTAATCTGTGTTACCATCGTTTGTTCGAACACTAGTCACAACATTGTTGTACATGTCCTTGATGAGGGTCACATACTTTGATGGAACTTTATGTTTGTCCAAAGCGCACCACATAACATTTCTTGGTATCTTGTCATAAGCCTTCTCCGAGTCAATGAAAACCATGTGTAGGTCCTTCTGCTCTCTAAATTGCTCCATAACTTGTCTTATTAAGAAGATTACTTCTGTGGTTGACCTTCCGGGCATGAAACCAAATTGGTTTGTTGATATCTACGTCGTTCCTCGCAGGCGCTACCATAATCGTTCTATGCAAAAAAATAATGATTGTGTATTTATGTCGTTACGGTTTTATAAATTTTTATAACGAATCTTTTTGTTGTTACAGATCCCAAACATGGCTAGTAAATAGCTATGGCAGACCCTCAAATTAGTTCCCGTAGTGCAATAAGTAGTTCACCAGCAATTCCTGAGAGCGAATAGGTCACGGAAAATTGTGATAGATTGATATGGGTACAGGGAGTACATTATATAGGCAAGGATCAGGAAGGGTTTATAGAAACACCCAATCAACGATGATCCTTGCATAATCAATAATCATCTACCATAATCCCTAAAGGCAGCCCAGCCAATAGGCTTGGGCGCCAGGCCCATGGCCAGCCCATAGGCGCCTATTCTAACACGCCCCCGCAGTCGAATCGTCAGCCACTCTGCACGTTTAGGCTGGACCTGAACTCCGTGAACACTAAAGAAGGCAGCCCTTTGGTGAAGATATCCGCATATTGTGAAGAAGTGGGAACATGCAGAACACGAAGATCACCAATGGTGACTCGCTCCCGGACGAAGTGAAGATCAATCTCAATGTGCTTGGTTCGCTGATGCTGTATCGGGTTGGAGGTCATGTAGACGACACTGATGTTGTCGCAATACACCAGTGTGGCGAGCCGTAGAGGGGCATGCAGCTCTAGAAGAAGCTGGCGCAGCCAGGTGGCCTCAGCAACTCCATTGGCCACCGCGCGATACTCGGCTTCAGCACTGGATCTTGACACCGTGTTCTGGCGCTTGGAGGACCGGGAGACAAGATTGTCGCCAAGAAACACAGCATAGCCCGAGGTGGACTTGCGGGTGTCTGGATAACCAGCCCAATCAGCGTCGGTGTAGACGACAAGATCAGCCGAAGTAGACGGTCGCAGCAGGAGACCAAGGTGGAGAGTGCCTCGAACATAGCGCAGAATCCGCTTCAGAGCTGCAAGGTGAGGCTCACGAGGGTCGTGCATATGAAGACAGACTTGCTGCACAGCATATGAAATATCCGGCCGGGTGAACGTGAGGTACTGTAAGGCTCCAGCGAGGCTGCGAAAGTCTGAAGGGTCAGAGACAGGGGTGCCATCTGCTGCCGCAATCTTCGGATTGGTGTCAACTGGAGTGGAACACGGCTTACACTGCCATCCCGGCGCGATCAAGAATGTCCAGCATATATTGCCGCTAAGAAAGGAGGCCATCACCACTGCGCTGAACAAGCATACCGAGGAAGTAATAAAGTTCACCAAGGTCCTTCATAGCGAACTCCCGCTGAAGGGCTGAGATGATCCGCCGAAGAAGGCCGATTGAGGAGGCTGTGAGGACGATGTCATCAACATAGAGCAACAGGTAAGCTGTATCTGATCCGCGCTGGTAAACGAAGAGTGAGGTGTCGGACTTGGCTTCAGCAAACCCAAGGGACAGCAAGTGTGTGGCCATGCGACTGTACCAAGCACGAGGGGCCTGCTTGAGGCCATATAGCGACTTCTTCAGGTGACAAACATAGTCTGGATGAGCAGGATCATCGAACCCAGACGGCTGCTGACAATAAACTATCTCTGTCAGGTTGCCATGAAGAAAGGCGTTCTTCACATCAAGTGGTGGATGGGCGGTGGTGAGAGAGAGCCAAGGGGCAGCACCGCAATGCGAGCGAGAGGTGAGCTTCACCACGGTGAATGTCTCATCAAAGTCCACACCGGAGTCACTGGGTAAAGCCGCGGAGAACCAGTAGCGCCTTATGCCCTTCGAGGAGCCATCGATGAAACTTGTGCTTGAAGATCCACTTGCTTGCAGGATGTACGTGGCCCGTTGGGGGGGGAGAGGCACGAGATCCTAAGTGTGATTCTTGACGAGGCATTGTTTCTCTTCCATTGCGGCTCGCCACATGGGGTGGCAAAAGAAGCGCTATGGAAGGTCTGATGATCGGTGACATAGACGTGGCGTGGTACGCAGCGAGCATCCGAAAACCGCTCTTGAACGTGTGCCCATGGCGTGTTGGTTGGTCATGGGAGGGATGCAGAATGACCCCTTTAGGCGGGTGCGGCTAATGGTGGTGCGTAGCAACTTAAGTATTGGTGCGAGTGTACCGGGCGGCGGTGACAGAGAAGCGATTGAGCAGGCGTGGTCGAGGCCGTAGCGTGTAGTGGTAGGCAAAGCGCGATCTGATTTAAGAGGCGGGAACGGGTGGGGCCAGCAGGGTGCTGAGGAGGTGACACCGGCGTACAGAGAGCCCACGGTCGGTCTTTGGAGATCTGCGAGCTCATGCGCAAGCGTTAAGCGGGATGTCTGGTGGCGAGGTGGAGCGCCCCCCGGTCGTGTTAGGCGTCTGAGCCACGCGTGGCGCGGGAGGGGTCCCTGGCGTCCGCAGCGCAGGCGGGATGTAGAGCGCGGGCGCCGGGGATCAGCAGTGTCTGCTGGGAATCAGTAGCAGCCACCGGAGGCATCGGGGCACCGAGCCTGATCTCGGAGGGACCGGCGAGGGCACCGGTGACGTCGAGAGAGTCTTTGGATGGTGTTCTGGCGACAAAAACTTGTGCAACGGTCCAATAGGAGCGGGCACAACATCGATAACATCAAGAAACTCAAAGTCCGCGAGTACTAGGACCATTGCGCTTTCGACAAAGGGAAGGCCGTTTCATCGAAGATGACGTCTTGGGAGATGATGACTCTATTGGTGGAGAGGTCAAGGCAGCGGTATCCTTTGTGGTGAGCGGAATATCCTAGGAAGACGCACAAGGCAGACCTAGGAGCGAGTTTATGAGGAGCGGTGGCGGACAGGTTTGGATAACACTTGCAGCCAAAGACTCGTAGGTGATCATACGCCGGCGGCGTGCCGTACAGGGCAAGGTGGGGCGTGGAGAACTATAGAGTCTTGGTGGGCAGAATGTTAAGCAGAAGGGTTGCTGTGGAGAGGGCCTCCGCCCAGTAGGAGGGAGGCATAGACGCCTGAAAAAGCAGTGAGCGAACGACATTATTGACGGAGCGAATAATGCGTTTGGCTTTACCATTTTGAGGCGAGGTGTAGGGGCAGGACATACGAAGATGGATGCCCTGTGTGAGGAAGAAGTGACGGGTGCTAGAGTTGTCAAACTCTTTCCCGTTGTCGCACTGGACAGCCTTGACGTGGGCCCCAAATTGGGTGGAGGCGTGGACGATGAAGTGGGCAAGCGTGCTGTAAGTGTCAGATTTGAGTCGCAAAGGAAAAGTCCACAAGTAGTGAGTGCAATCATCAAGTATGACCAAATAGTATTTGCAACCACAAACACTAACAACTGGAGATGTCCACAAGTCACAATGAATAAGATCAAACTTGCTAGACGCACGAGAGGTGGACGAATGAAAGGGCCGACGAACATGACGCCCTAACTGACAAGCGTGACATAGATTTGAACAATCCTGAATGTGACAGGAGACACTAGACACAAGCTTCGACAACGCCTCATGACTAGGGTGACCGAGACGCCGATGCCACAGTGGGGATGGAGCCTGAGCGACAAAGGAGTGTGCTGGAGGTAGGAGCAGTGGATATAGCGGCCCGGAGCTATTGCACCTGACGATCTCAGTCCGAGATGGAAGAACCTTCACAGAACAACCAACAGGGTCAAACTCAATGTAGCGATTCTTTGCCGATAGTGAATTGACACACAGAGATGAGATTCTTAATAAGTTGTGGCGACACAAGAACATTATTAAGACGTAAAGTAGGGGACAACTCTGTGGAGCTAGTGGCAGTAACAGGAAGCATGGAACCATTACCGACAACAATAGATGAAGGAGTAGGATACCGCGGGAATAGAACATGTGAAAGGGAGGAAGACTGAGATGTCATATGTGAAGTAGCACCTGTGTCGAAGTACCACTCGTTGAACGAAGGGAGGGTCTGACGACGTCGTCGTGTCAAGGCGGAGGCGAGGGTCATGTCTGGTCCCAAGAAGGGAGGCCGACCACAGGATTGTAGTACCGGGCGACAGTGATCGCCATCTTTGGCGAGGAGGGCTCTTTGCTATGCTGCAGATGAGGAGGCACCGGGATGGGTGCAGTGAGGACGAGGACCCCGCCACATCTCGAATGGAGCCCATCCATGGGTTGTAGACATTTGGGCAGGGGGCGACAACCGGTGGCAGTGGCTTTGGCCGCCGCCACATTCACTTCTTCTTCTTCTTTGGCGCCAGAGGGAGGGCGGTGGCCTCAAAGGTTGTTGTTGCCACCAGGCCCCCCTTTCCACCATTGTCGCTTCTTTGGCGATTGCCGTTGAGGACTTTGGGCCATGGCGCCTTGAGCCCGTGTTGGACGTGGGTGAGGCAAATGGTTGGAGGAGCTTCTTCTTCGCGGTGGAGGCGGCGAGAAGCGATGGGGGACTCCTTGTTCTCCAATGTGAGTTCCTCGAGGATGAGGTCATCACGAGCCTCCAGGAAGGTGGGGAAGGGCCGGCTGCGGCGTAGGAGGGCCCCGACGTGGCTGAAGCGCTCGTTGAGGCCACGGATCACGTTAAGGACGAGGGTGTGGTCAGTGATCACTTCGCCAAGAGCCGTGAGGTCGTCAGCCATCTTCAACCAGCGGCAGTAGTCTGTGATAGAGAGGTCGCCCTGGACGAAGTTGCGAAATCGTGTCTCAAGGTGGATGGAGCGAGCCTCCCGGTTGCCGAGGAACTAGGACTCGACGGCGAGCCAGGCATGCCGGGCAGTGGAGCCCTGGGCGGAGATGATCTCGGCAAGGTCGTCGGTGAGCGTGGCGACGATCCAGGACTTGACAACGCAGTCCATCCGAGCCCAGTCAGGGGAGATCGGGGCCGAAGGTTCCTCGTGGACGTGGTCCTGAAGAGAGAACTTGCCGAGGATGAGCAGGAACTGATCGCGCCAGCGGTTGAAGTTGCCGGAGTCGACGTCGAGGACGATGGTGACGTGGTTCCGGATGTTGTTGACGGCGACGGCCTGGGCGTGTAGTTGCAGCAGTGCCATGGCCTCATGGAGGAGCATGGCTGAGGCGAGGTCGGGAGGAGACGTGGAAGATGTGCTGGAGGAGGCGCCTCCAGGTGCACGAGGCGGCGGCGGCGGCTGCTGCCAGGCTTTACTTGGCCATTGGCCTTGGGCAAAGCTGCTGTCGCGATCTTTGACGGCGGCTGCAGCCTCCTCCTACGGACAACATGAGCTGTGGCGGCTCTGGCGCTCCTTGTCGAGAAGTTGGGCGGCGGCCAGGCGCTGCTTCGCCTTCTCCTTGGCTGGCGTGTCATGCGATCTCTTCAACGGTGACATCCCTGCACTGGGAGAGGCGGGGGGACATGATACTATTGGCGGCAGAGGCCTTGCCAGCAGGGGTGTGCAGCGGAAGGGAAAACCTAAACCTAGGTAGCTGATACCATGAGAGCGAATAGGTCTCGGGAAATTGTGATAGATTGATATGGGTACAGGGAGTACATTATATAGGCAAGGATCAGGAAGGGTTTATAGAAACACCCAATCAACGGTGATCCTTGCCTAATCAATAATCATCTACCATAATCCCTAGAGGCAGCCCAGCCAATAGGCTTGGGCGCCAGGCCCATGGGCGCCTATTCTAACAATTCCAATTCCACCACCCTGGCTGACTCAACCTCTCAACCTTGTTTAGTTTCCCCAGTTATGCAAACACAGTGATAGCGGAATAGAACGGCAGTAGGACCTCTAGATGGGAGGTTGACTTGTTTCTATAAGATACATACCAGAAATGGTGTAAACTTTGCTGACTTTCACCCTTGAAAGCAGTTTTTGCAAAAGCTGCATAGAACCTGCCAGGTAACATGGTCAATACAAGAGAAATGATATTAAAAAACATGCAAAAACTATTTGTCGACACAAGTTTACTAACATTCCCAGTGTCATGACGGTCAAAACACCAGAGACCTCCAGTGAGTCTTGAGCCTGATACAAATGAACATTAGCAAAAGCAAAGTCTCCGAGAAATAGAGGGAAGTAAGGACTTCTGAGTGGCATGGTCTTACAGTGAAGAAAGCTATATAGCTGACAGCAAGAGTAAGTGCAATCTCTATGATTGTATCGTTAAAAATAAAGCCCAACCACAGTATTGACACGATTCCAAATGCAAGGCCCAGAGCAACACTGATCAAAGAAGGTACTAATTAGCATTATACACACATCCATATAATTCACTTTGAATGTAACAAAGAAATTCCACATACGCTCCAAGTGAAACTTCAGACAAGAACTTTATTATTGAGCCAGCATCAAAGGTTCTTCCAAGCACCATTCGATAGAATAACTGATAGACAACAATAGCGGTCCTGTAGAATTTGAGTTCATTTAGCATGAGTTTTTTTTTAAATGACTGGCAGGAGTTCTGCCCAGCAATATATTAATAGAGAAGAAGAGTGTGTTTAAACAACCGGCAGGAGTTCTGCCTGATCATTTAGCATGAGGTAGCTCTTACAGATTTTATAACTGTATATAACTGAAGTTGAAAACTTTTTCTAGGTATCATATATGTACCACAATACCTAATATGTAGCTAATACATATAATGAGGAGAGTGAATCCCATAGTACACGAGGCAAGGTCATTGCATAGTTAACTAAATCTTGAATTCCATATTTTAACTTACATAAACAGAGTAACAAAATTTACATTCCCATTATGACTATTGAATATAAAAAGCTTTGACAACTTCTGTTATTAGCACGGTAGTGTAAATACTTTCAAATTTAATTGTAGCATGAAGCATGATTTATTTATTAATGTACAGCGGTGACTAGAACAGAAAGTCCAATCTATAGGGCTCATCTACATACCCTCTTCTAGAGTCCAATACTACAGTAGCTTACCCATCATTCATTAAGGATTCACCCTCAATGATTGTACTAAGCTTTTTACTTGCTCCGAGTTCTTTTAGCAGTGCAACCACAGCAACTGGATCAGTTGCACTAAGCAGTCCGCCAAGCAACAATGATGTTTTCCAGCTCCAGTTGTAAGGAAAAGTGAGCTGTAGGACACCAATTAGGAAGCATTGGAATATTAAAACCAATGTCTCATTGTTTCTCTAAGCACATACCTTTACGGCAGCGCCAAGTAAAACTGTTGATATTACCACACCTGGTCCAGCAAGTAACACCATCTGTGCCATACATCTCTGCAAAATAAGCATCGTAGTCAGCACTCAACAAACATATATGGACCAGTTGGGTTACGTCACTAAAGGAAATCACAGCAAAAAGATCAATAGCAAGTACTATTAAGAGTACTCTACTATTAATTACTTTATTAGAAGCAGTGACAGTAGAGAAATCAAATATGATGTTCACAAAGACATTTTTTCGGCACAACCAGAGGAGAGGTTCCCCACATGATTCTATTCAGAGGCAAGGCATTTTAGATGATAATGTATTGTGGTATAAAAACAAGATAATCAGAAGAGAGTGTAAGATTGTCCATATCAGATGAAGATGGAGTATACAGCAGTACACAAGATCAGATTGCGAACCACAAAACAGGATTTACAAGACTAATTGGATGCTTTCAATAGATCTGCTGATTTTTCAGGGAATATGAATCGTAATTCCATTGGAAGGGTTCCCAGTGGGCTGCTGAGGTTGCTAAAATGGGGTTTAGATGGCTGGCTGGTAATGGCAAGCAAGTTAAATGTTGGGAGGACAATTGGTTAGGGCCATGTAATTTGGCCCTTATGTTTTGGGAGCTTTATGTGATTCTGAACGAGCATTCAACAACAATTGCCGATCTGTGGGATAGCACTAACCTTAAATCAAATGTACCTCTAGATGATGTGTTGACCATAAGCTCATGAGGCAATGGGATGAGCTGATTCAGATAGCCTCCTCCCTTGTCCTCACAGATAACAAGGATGAAATTATTTGGCAATACACCTCAGATGGGGTGTACTCCTCACAATCTTCATTTAGGATCATCAGTTTCGGGGTAAACTCCTGCGTACACCCCTGCAGTTTGGAAACTTAGATCTCCCCGAGGGTTCACGTCTTTTTGTGCTATTGAAGAACAAGCTCTTGTCTAGAGATAACTTAGCCAAAAGGAGGACGGTAACTGTCTCTTTTGTGGAGGTTTGGAGAATATTTGTCATCGTTTCTTTGAATGCATAGTGGCTAGGAGGCTTTGGGGTGAGTTAGCTAAATATGAAGGTGCTACTCTCGTTATAGATTTTGAATCTTTAGCACCAAAGTGGTTGTCTGCTAGGAAGCATACAGTGTCTAAAGCCAGAAGTAATAACTGAGGATTAGCACAGAAATGAAGTAATGAACAGCATAACAGAGAGGTACAGCAGGCAGAAGTAAGGGCCATCCAGTGTTGGCAGTAACGTTTTAAGAGAGAAACTGAAATGATTTAGACAGAAAAGAAAACTTTTGGGTGTGAACAAGCATTATTGTGATCATATATTAGTTTACTCCCACATTGTGCACGCACGGAGGATAAACAGATATCACATGATGCACCTTTATTTGGTGTACTTCCATGGAGAAGGAGCTTTCAAAGAGGAGGGCAGGTAAAAAAACAGCCAGCAGAAGATCAGGGTTTATGTTAGCCCCTGCAAATTAATTGGAAGGGAAATAAAATAACTGAATGATGAATGAAATAAAACCAGGTAGGGAATTTAATTAATTAGGTACCTACACATACATGTGGAAGGAACTGAAGTATCAATCAATTAGAATGAATAACAGTATAAGAAACTTACAGATACGAATTCCAGCTCCAAGTTTGCCTAGACCATGTTGTGTTCCGTATTCTGGAGGTCATCAGAGAAAGAGAATACTACTACTTAGTAGCAGAGCAAGTATAACAGAGAGAGAAATTAAACTGGGGCGGGGGCCATTATATTACTACCTCCGTCCCTAAGTAAGTCAACTTCTACAGTTTTACTAAGTGAAAATTTTATAAATTTGACCAAATTTATAGAAGAGAATACCAACATTTATGAGAAAATTAGTGCCATTAGATACACCATAAACTATATTTTTATAGCATGTTTATTTAATATCATAGTAGATCTATAAAGTTGGTCAAAGTTACGAAAGTTTAACTTATGACAAGTCTAGAAGTTGATTTATTTAGGGATCGAGGGAGTATTTACATAAAAAAAAGTGCTACTAGTACTTAGTAGTAGTATCCTGATCCAACTGAGCTAACTGAAATAGAAAGTCACTCCTGTAGTAGCAGCAGCAGCAGCAGCTAAAAAGTCGCTCTATCGTTATCAATTACTCATGGCAACCAAAGGGTGTTTACTGGAACAAGGATCGGAGCGACTGAACTGAGAGCTCCTGGTCCTGACAGATGAGTGCAGATTAATTACGAAAGCGAAAGGGGGCACTGTTGGATTAGATTCGGTTTCGGAAATCCCATTCCATTTTCATCTGTAGATAGACGAATAAGACAAGCAAATATGGAAAGCAACCTAGCTAGCTTACCGAGGGATCCAAGCGCGACTCCGAGGACGAGAAGGGCGACGGTGTAGGGGACGCGGGTCCCGCGGAGGAGGTGGCGGGAGGCGATGCCCAGCACCAGCGACACCCCAACGAAGAGCACCGCGTCGTCAGGCTCAGGCTCAGCATCGCCCCCCATTCTCCTCTCTCTCTCTCTCTCTCTCTCTCTCTCTCTCTCTGTGTGTCTCCAATGGATATGGATCGGAATATCGGATGGAGAGGAGCTCTGCTTGCACGAGCACGACTCAGGAAGTCAGGAGGAGGAAGAGCAAGAGGAGGAACAAGAGAGAGCAGGAGCAACCTTCGTTTCCGGTTATTATTAGTTACTATTGTTAGAATATCTAGTTTCCAGCTGGCTTGGTCTTTTTGGCTCCTCTGTAGTCTATCACTTTAGTCTAAACTGGTTTCTTTGGGTCTGACTCTTTGGGCACCTCTGTATTCTAGGCTATATATATAACCCTCTTGTAACACAGCTTTAAATATATAACATCTCACTCTGTTAGGCTTCTATCATGGTATCACGAGACTTTTGAGTCATGTCGCTTCCGCCTCTTTCCCAAAGCGCGCTGCAGTGCTCGCTTTTCTTTGCCAGGCTTCAAAGTCAGTCATCAAGGCCATTGTTATCGCGCCCATGGTCGCCGATACCCCTACCGGTGACTCCAAAGATCGGTTTTCTACCACCGCTGTCGCTTTGCTAAGCTTCGCGGATGAAGCTACCTCCGCCGCCGAAGTCCGCTGGAGGCCTGTGCCATCTCCATCCGCTCCTCCAACGCCGAAGCGCAATGCCAAAGCAGCTCCAACAGAGGCCGACCTCCTGAAGTTCGCCGCCACCGCTTGAGAGCGTTTCGTTCTGCCGCCGCCGCTCTTGACCAAGAGCGCAAGAAGCCGACGCTCGAGCAAGAAAGGCTACCGCCTCGCATAATCGTCTTCGCGGAGCTGCTCAAGGACGACGATGTTCGCGACGATGACGCCCACTCAAGCCGCGGCCATTGCTCATCTCCACACCAGCAAAGGCCGTTGCCCGTAATATCAAGCACCGATCCCCATCGCCCTCGAACTCCGGTCATCATCGAACTACTCGAAGTGGCGCGGCTATTTCCTCCTCACCCTCGGGCGGTTCTCCCCGAGGGGCCATGTCTCGCCGATGACGCCCGCCCGACGATCCGGCATGGTCTCGCATGGACTACGTGGTCATCTCTCGGATTTTCAACACCATCTCCTCGACCTTCCGGACATCGCCCACGAGCACGCCGGGCACCATCGCCGGGCGGCTTGGCTCGGGTCGAGAATCGATTCTGGAAATCGCGAATCCGGGCACTCCTTCTTGATGTTGAATTCGCAACCTTTCTCAAGGCGCCTCTCCATCGATGACTCGCCGCCAGATGAAGACCAAGGTCGATGCCCTTGCCGATCTTGGCGAGCCCATCAATGACCGTGACGCTCGTCTCCCGAACGCCCCTGCGCGGCCTCAATGAACGGTTTCAGTTCATGGCACGGTGATCACCGCCGTAAGCCGCTTCCTTCCTTCACGACGTCGCAGAGACTGCGCGCTTTGTTGAAGCTCAACATGGAGCAGCCTTATGGCTCCTCCTCGGCGCTTTCGCCACACCAACCAGCAAGCCGCTGCGCCTCCACTTCCTGCGCCACCGCGCCCCCCTCAGGGATCTCCCTCTACTGGGGGCGCCCCTTCTAGCAGCGGATGTGGGCGCCGTCGCCGCGGTGGGCGTGGCCAAGGCGGCTCTGGAGGTGGCCAAGGCGGCTCTAGAGGCTCGCCATGGGCCTCCGTGTTCAATTCATGGACTGGGTCCATTCATATGTGGTTCGGCTCCAACCCAAGCGGTCCTCGTGCTCCACCGCCTGGCCGGCTTCCCTCCACACCAACAACAAACTCGATGGTCGCCATGGCTCGCTCCTCCACCATACTCCACACCGGGCCTCGGTTCAGACTCCCTGTGCACCGAGCCACGGTCTGTTCTCCAGCACCGGTTCGGGCACCCTCCTCGCATGGGCACCTTGGGATCCACACTCCCTCGCCAACGCTTTCAAAGATCTTTGTGACCCTTACACGCCACGGGCAAGAAATGCCGATTGGGTTGTCGATTCAGTGCTTCCTCCCACATCGCATCCAACCCCGGTATGGTTACCTTATCCTCTTCCTCCACCTTTCCCTCTTCCATTGTTGTTGGCAACGGTGCCACTCTCCCTGTGGTTAGCACCGGTTACTCCACCCTTCCCGGTCCCTTTCGCCTCAACAATGTTCTCCTTGCTCCTGACATCATCAAAAATCTTCTCTTTGTTCATCAATTCACCACTGATAACCATGTTTCTGTTGAATTTGACCCTGTTGGCATTTCTGTAAAGGACCTACGCACAGGCACCATCCTCCTTCGCTGTAATAGCTCGGGACCTCTCTACACCCTACAGCTGCCATCATCATCGTCCGGCTCCATCGCTCTTGTCACCACCCCATCGACGATCGATTGGCACCGTCGCCTTGGTCACCCCGACAAGGATGCCTTCCAACACCTTACTCAGTCCTCCTCTATTATCTGCAGCAAGCCCGGCGACACCTCTTTATGGCATGCTTGTTAGCTTGGACGACATGTTCGGTTACCTTTCACTAGTTCGATGTCTAGGGCATCCAAACCTTTTGATTTAGTTCATTGTGATTTGTGGACCTCTCTTGTACTCAGCATTTCTGGTTTCAAGTACTATTTAGTTATACTTGATGACTACTCGCATTTTCTATGGACTTTCCCACTTCGCCTCAAATCCGACACTTTTTCCACTCTCTCTATTTTTCCGCCTATGTCTCCACTCAGTTTGGGTGCCCCATAAAATCCATCCAATGCGATAACGGCCGTGAGTTTGACAACTCTTCCTCTCGTGCTTTCTTTCTTGCCAAAGGCGTTTCCCTACGTATGTCTTGTCCATACACCTCGTAGCAAAACGGCAAGGCTGAGCGCATCCTTCGCACCACAAATAATGTCATCCGCACCTTACTGTTTCAAGCATCTATGCCTCCCTCCTATTGGGTGGACGCTCTTGCCACTGCCACCTATCTGATCAACCGTCTTCCCACCAAGACGTTGGGTCTGTCCACACCCTACTTCGTCCTCCATGCCACTCACCCTTCCTACTACGAACTTCGGGTCTTTGGGTGTGTCTGCTATCCTAATCTCACTACCACTACCCCACATAAGCTTGCTCCTCGCTCTACTTTGTGCGTCTTTCTTGGTTATTCCCCTGATCACAAAGGTTATCGCTGCCTTGATCTCACCTACAATCGGGTCATCATCTCTCGCCATGTTACCTTTGACGAATCCCATTTTCCTTTCTCCCATCACCGATCATCTCCTCCACCCAGCGAGCTTGATTTTCTAACTGATAATGAGCCTCCACCAGCTCCTATTCATTCTGCAGGTACACCCACTACTTCAGGCCGTGCCAGCTCCCTGCCCGTGGCTGTTGCACCCCTACAGGTTTAGCTGCCCGATGAGCCTCCACTGCTGCCAGTGCTCTCACATAGCCCTGGTCATCTCCCGCGGGCACCTAGGTCTCCACCAGGCTTTCCCACACTTTCGGCTCCACCTCCGGCGTCTCGGTACCTGCTACCTCTCCATCGCCGATGATGCCTGCTGCTCGTCCGGCACCCATGGTGCCTTCAGCACCTGTGATGCCTCCGGCACCCATGGTGCCCATGGCACCCACCACGACCTAGGCACCACCGACGACGTTCAACAAATCGCATGTCACCCAAGTCTACTCCCGGCACGCTCCTGCTCCAGCACCTTCACCGACGTCTCCCATTGCTGCTCCCTCTCGGTGCTCGAGCATCGTCCCTTCACCACCTCGCTACGTGAAGGCTGCTCCTCCTGTCGGTGTTGTTCCCATCCCACCGGTCGCCAACTCCCATGGCATGCTGACCCGTGGGAAGTCTGGATATCACCAACCGTGCCTTCATCTTCACACCGAGGCGCTGTCACCCATTCCTCGGTCTTGTCATGACGCCCTCACTGATCCTCACTGGCGTCGCGCCATGGAAGAAGAACATGCAGCTCTTATTGAGAACCACACTTGGGACCTCGTTCCTCGCCCTGCCAAGGCAAACGTGGTCACTAGAAAATGGATCTTCAAACACAAATTTCATGCTGATGGTTCCCTGGACAGGTACAAGGCTCGCTAGGTTCTTCGAGGCTTTACACAACGGCCAGGTGTCGACTATGATGAAACCTTCAGCCCCGTTGTCAAACCTGCAACTGTCCGCACGGTTATCACTTTGGCCCACTCTCGGGATTGGCCTATATATCAACTTGATGTGAAGAACGCTTTTCTTCATGGGGTTCTTTCAGAGACCGTCTACTATTCGTAGCCCACAGGTTTCACTGATTCTGCTCTTCCCAATCATGTCTACAAGCTAACAAGTCCCTGTATGGTTTGAAACAGGCACCACGCGCTTGATACAGTCGGTTTGCTGCTTATTTGGTCGCTTTGGGATTCTCTGAAGCTCGCTCGGACACCTCCCTGTTCATCTACCGCCGGGGTGCTGACACAGTCTACCTTCTTCTTTATGTTGATGACATCATACTCACTGCATCCTCCTAGCAGCTTCTCAGCCGTGTTATTGATGCTTTGAAGAAGGAATTCGCCATGAAAGATCTTGGTCCTCTTCATCACTTCCTTAGCATGTCAGTTCAACGACGAGGTGCTGCTATTTTTCTCTCCCAATGGCAGTATGCTCTGGATATCTTGGCTCGTCATGGCATGACTGATTGCAAACCTTGCTCTACCCCTGTTGACACCTGCGCCAAAGCCTCTGCTGATGGTGGTCCTGCTGTTGCTGATCCTACAAATTATCGCAGCCTTACGGGTGCTTTACAATACCTCACTTTCACCAGGCTCGACATTGCCTACGCAGTCCAGCAGATCTATCTTCACATGCATGATCCTAGGGAGAGTCACCTTGCTGCTGCCAAACGAATCCTTCGATACCTTCAGGGCACTCTGGATTATGGCCTAGTCATTCCTCGATCATCCCCTACTCAACTTATTGTGTACACGGACGCCGACTGGGCCGGCTGCCCAGACACTCGCCGCTCCACCTCCGGCTACGCTGTCTTCCTTGGAGGCAGCCTCGTC